TCTCAAACTCAGGCGCGGGCGCTGCCGCCGGCGCAAAGTTGCGGGTCGGCGGCAGGCCGAGCACCGTAGTAAGTGCGGAGGTCTCCATGAGCTCGTCGCGCAAGCGTTGCGCCTCAGTCTGACTGTCACGCAGCGCGCGCGCTCTCTTCCAGCCACCAATATTTCTAGGATCTCCGGCGCGTCGACCTGTTCGCCTTGGCAGTGCGAGAATTCATTCAATTTTTACAGTTTGTAGTTAACCCTGTAGGTCGTGATGTGTCGGCGCTGGTGTGTCGGCTAGAAGAATAAGCCTCTCACGCGTCACTTATGCTCGATCGCGTCTTCGGTTGCACCGCGCTGCCGCAGGGGATCGTGCGCGGCCGCGGGTTCATGGTGATCGGCTGCGGCTGCGAGATGTGGATCGGCCGCCGTCTCTGTCACTCCTGGGGGGGGGGGCGCCCACGAGCGCGGCCCCTGTTGGATCTCCGCGATGAGGATCTGGAGCACAGCGGGGAGCGGGGCGACCATCCGCGACCCCCTGGGCCGCGCGAGTCGGGCCGCCCCCCGCGCCCAGCAGACGGCGAACCTGGTCGTGACCAGCGCGCGCCCCCTTGGCCCGGGGGAGCTCTGCCGCCCCGTGTAGGGCGAGCGTTTGCGGCCCCCCGCGCGTCGTGGAGAGGGTGTCCTGTGGCGGCTGCCTTTGCTGAGTGTCCGGCTGGGGCTCTCCTCTCAAGAGTTTTCGCGCCTGGGTCGACGCGCGCGTTCCGGCTGATGTTCCCACGCTTGCATGTTAGCTTCGTGTCCGCATGGAAAATGCATTTAAGAACGCGCGGGCATATGCGGCGGTCTGGTAGTGGGCAAGAGCCGCGTCTCGAAGGCGAAGCAGAAGTGCAGTTTGGCCATGTCCTTCAGCGGTGGGCCGGAGGACCGGCCGGCGCAAGGTCGTCTGTCGCGGGCGTCTCTGCCGGGGGTAGAAGGTCGTCGTGGAGGTCGCCGTGTGGAACGGCTGCTGGATCCAGCGCGCAACATATCGCGCCCGTCTCCGTTCCTGCACCGTCCAAACCTAAACGCTGCAGATTTGGCGGAATTAGGTCGCGTCCATTCGTTATTGAGGCTGTGTTGATTGCGTCCAAGCCGGCGCAGTTCAAGCTTGGCAAGAATACGTTTCCGAAGCCACTCACATATTCGATCGGGGTCGTCGTATGTCATCTTGGCACAGTCGTGCATGTCATGCTTCATCAGGTGGCGTCGGCGCATCTGATCTTGAAATAACGACTCGAGTATTATCGCGTCGGGCGGCTCGCGGCATTTGCAACCGTAGGTTGTCCCAGTCCACGATAAACTGTTGTAGGTCGTCGTCCCGCATGCGCGTGACATGTAGATGCTCAGAGTCATGCGTCGCATCGTCGACCGCAGTGACCTTGTACGATTGGAGCGCCGTCCAGTATATCTGCCTACCCTTCAGCAAACGGCCAGCCATGTGTTCCTGGGCTGTGGTGCGGTTCTTGATGCGGTACCAGGGCTCACTATTGAGGACCGCCGTGAGCCCGGCAGCGCGTTTGCAATCGTCGCTGTCGGAGTCGCCGCTGTCCTGGAGGTCCTCGAAGGTTGCGGCTGCTGGTTCGGCGATGCAAATGAACGCATAGGCCTCGGCGGGGCGCGCGGCGGCGCTGCCAGGCAGAGTTGATGCGAACCATGTGTTGCCACTCTTGCAATTGAGTAATCCATGGCAGTTGTGGCGCGTGCGCAGTGTCTGATTCCTCGATTGGAGCGCTGCCGCTGAATGAAACATGTGACAAAGTCTGCGATGGAACTAATTGGAATGGCGATGGTGGTGGCGCATTGGAAACGCGGCGTGTCTGCGTGGAAGCCGCTGCTGAAGCGGTACCTGGCGAAGTACGTTGCGTGGGTCCAGTGCGGATGTCGCCGTCGGCATGTGTTGAGACTCTGTCAGATCGGTGGTCAGGAAGTGGGGTCGGACGGTGGATCTGAGTCTTGCTCACATGGGCCGTCACTGTAGCTTTGTTGGTCGTGATGTCAGTATGCTGATTCTGAACATTCTGTTATATGCCACGCACCTCAACCCTAGCATCGTGGGTTCGCTGGGGGCACCGGTCCAGCCGATGCTCCAAATCCTGGATTCGCGTCATTGGCGCGCGGTTCGCTCTTGTTCCAAATTGGCGAGCGCTTACTCAGCCCTTGTCTTTTCGGCGTCTCATTCTTGGGAAATCTGGGTGAGTTGTAACTGCGCGTGGTCCGCCGCCACTCGTACCTCGGCCCAGCGGACTTCGAGGGGGCGGATTCGCAAACCGAAGTCGGGGTGCCCAGCTGATCAGTCTGGGCCCGTACAACACGCAACTCAGCCAGTGCAGCCCTTATTTCACTTAACTGCTGCTCGACCGTGGAGACTCGGCTCTCAAGCGGTGGCGCACGTCCATCATGGCCATCTCGGCGCCACGCAGCTTGCCGTGCAACTCGTGCGTGGGTATGGTGCGTTGGGAGTGCAGTGTGACAGGGGTCATATCAACCTGGGTACGAAGTGCATTGAAGTGCTCACATACTTGCTGATCCGCAGGTCCATTTACCTCCACAGCTGGGATCTGCCGCGCCGTCAGGAGTTCATCGTGGAACGCCCTCATTGGCGGCAGCGCCTGTGTCCCTGACGCTCGCAAGTTGGGCCTCCGTCCCAAGGAGGTAATCGTGGAACGTCTGGAATGTGCTGGAGTCGTAGCCTCGGTGTGACTCCACCTGGTCAACTTGATACTGGACCTGGGTGGAAATCAACCGACCTTCTGCGATCCGAGCGTCGACCAAGGCAAGAACTCGATTAAGTTCCTGCTTTAGGGTGGCCGTCTGCGCGGCCAGACCCGACAAATCTTGGGTCGTATGAATTTCAACCTGGTCTTGAAGCTCAGCCACCTCAGTGGCGGAGGGAGAAGCGCGCGACACCATATCTCATGGCAGGCAACTGTGCCTGGAGCGCCTCTGAGAGGGGTTGCGGCTGTTCTCCCGGATAGGAAAGCGAATGCGATGCCGTGATGGAGACCTTCGGGGAAATGTCCGTCCAATGCGGTTCTCGATAACACGCGCATGTTCGGATGCAAACGCGTTAGCGGGTGATGTGACCTTAGTAAAGCGGCGGGGGCGCGCGAAGGCGTTGTCTGGAGACGTTTCACTGGCGCCGCCGCTGCGGGCGTTCCCACCGGCACATCGCCCGTCAGCGAAGGTTGGAGAAGAAGAAGGAGGCGAGCCGAATCCACCTGTGGCTCCAAGGCCAATTGCAGGTGTTCCCACCGGCAGACGAGAACAATCAAAGGCGGCGCCAGGACACGTTCCAGTGGACGTATCAGGCGCCGAAACATCATCAGAGTTCCCAGGCGTCTGAGAGCGCGCGGGCGGCGGCAGCGGTGAGTCGGGTAGGAGCTCGCCAAGGGCAGCCGCAAGCAATGCGGAACTGCCTTCTCCTGAAGGGGGGAGAATGGGTATCGCGGATTATGTCGCCCTGTCCGCGGTGTCGCCGCGGCCACACGCCGACGAGGACGCCGCGCGCATAGAGGCACTGCGCCTCGAAGGGTGCAGAACCATGCGGCGGTGTCAACGATGACGCGCGTCGCAGGGGCGAAGAGCGTAAAAGAATAGGCGGATAACCAGTGTGTATAGGGATACGACCGAGGAGTCGATCCTATACGATTGTCCGCTGGTGGAGGTGAAGGGGAAAGAGGTTAACTACTCGCTTTCCTGGGCGCTGCGCGAGGAGCAGCGCGGTATATGCACCAATACCTGAGCCGACACGTTAGCGGGTTAGCGGTATATGACGATAGCATGGTGATATGAACGAACTTCACACACCAACGGCTCTGGAGGATGTCTTGGGCGCCGAAACCTTCTCACAGCGTTCTGGAACGTTCTGAGAGCGTCCCAAAACTCTCTGGAACGCGCCACTGACAAGGCCCCGCGAGCGAAGAAACCTCGCCGTCGCCCTCGTCCACGGTGGACACCTGCCTCGCTCCAGCAGTCGGCCGCCGGGACCCCTCCCGGCGCGCGCTGGCCCAGGACTCCGAGGGGCGCCCCCCAAAAGATCGGCCGAGCGTGCCCGAGGGCCTGCGGGCAACCCCAGCCGTCGCGGCGAGGAGTTTCCCTGAGGCTTGAAGACGGCCAAGCGCGCAAGGAGGCCTCGAGGTCCTCGATCGATCGGTCCTCGATCATCAATCCACGATCGATCGGTCCTCGATCCTCGATCCTCAATCGATTCTCGATCTTCGGTCGGCCCTCGACCCTCGGTCGATCAGTCCTCGATTAGCAATCGGGCGATCCGCGCTCCTCGATTGACAGTCGATCCTCGATGGATCGATGTGCAATCCTTACTCGATCGATCATCGACCCTCAATCGATCGATCCTCGTCCCTCGATCGATCCTCGATCATCAATCGATCGATTCTCGATACTCGATCCTCGTCCCTCGATCGATCCTCGTTCCTCAATCGATCGATTCTCGATACTCGATCGATCGGTCCTCGATCCTCAAACGATGGATCCTTGATCCTCGATCCTCGACCGATTTTCTTCGATCAATCCTCGACCCTCGATCGATCCTCGACCCTCGGTCGATGGTAGATCCTCTATTATCCATCAACCCTCGATCCTCGATCGATCGATCCTCGACCCTCGATGGATCAATCCTCGATCGCTCGATCCTCAGCTCTCGGCCCTCCTCGGGTCTCGAAACCTGGGGCGAGCTCGCATGCACGCAGGAGTGACCCTGGGCAAGAGTGACCTTAGTTGTGCGCAGTCCCAGGAGACCGCGGAGGCAAGCCAGTGCTCGGCAAGCGTTCCCAGACGGCGCAGGCGCGAAACGCAAAATTACCTGCCCCCCGCCCACCTCCCGGCCCAACCGTATAATCAACGCCCGCCATCGCCCGCGAAAAAACCTCCCGTGAACCCGCACCAAAAAGGGCACTCCAGTGAAGGGTCGCTCCTGAGCGTGGTCGAGGAGGGACGGCGACGGCAACGGCAGCCCCGGCTCCTCCGAGGCCAGCTCCCAGGCAGCGTCGGAGAGGGCCCGCGCTGCGGCGGCCTGCCTCGGGCGGGTCGGCGTCCTACGGCCATCGCGCTACCGCAGGTGCGGGCACTGCTTGTTTCGTGTATCCATGGCGTCTGGGATCTTTGTTGGGGAGAGGACGCCAGAAACCCGAGGGGCAGTGGATGTAGATCTCGCCAGAAGCAAGATTCGTATCCATGTCCACTGCGATTTGGGTTTCTAAGGGACGGGAGTCGGAAACGAACTCCGAAATGCAGTGGGCATGGATAGCCTTGCCCGCGCAGAAGAAAAAGTGGATTGGGAACGACGGGGCGCGTCTGGCCACGAACCAGCTTCGCCGATCCAGATATGAGGGACGGCCCGAAAACCCAAACCCCTGCTCAACCCTAAGTGATTTCACTTCGGCATTTTGACTACATCCATTCCCGCGTTCACGCCCCATCCCCGCGAGGAGGCAGAGTGGGGCACGTACGAGAACACGCTTCTGGAGCACTGAATCATATCCGAACCCAACCCTTCCTGGCACCCGAAATCCAATGCAACTGTCCCCCCCTTGGCCCCGGCGCTCCTTCCGCCTCGTGCGCCCTAGCTGCTGTTCACTACTCAGGGCCGGCGGAACAGGCCGTATGAAGGCCATGCCCAAACCAAATCTGGCGGCCCAGTAGGAGGGCCCAGCCGGTCTCGATGGCCCGGACATCCGACGATGTGGTTGTTGCATTCCGCGGCCCCAAAGGCTCGACCCCTTCCCGGGGGGGAGAGCACTGTCCCGTCCCGGGTGTGTATCTAATATATGATGGCCCCGCGGCCCGAAGACTGCCCCGTAGAGACCGACATACAGCGAGATTGGGGACAACAATCCCACCGAAATGCGGATTGGCCTAACATCCAAAAACAGAAACATAAACTTCCAAAGGTCCTTGTGGGTTTGTTGGATCTGAGCTGAACCGCCCTCCCTGTCGCGCAGAGCGTGCCAAGAGCGGCGCCTGACGCGTCGGCCGCCAGCGGGGCCGATCGCCGATCCGACAAACCCGCAAAGAACTTCGATAAGTTCTGCGTATGCGGTCCCTTCCTCTTCGAGGCATGTAAAAAACAGCAATATGCCTGACGTCTGGATCGAAAAAATCGAAGGCCTCCAAAACTTTGATCGCCAATGCCTCGCCGCCCCAGCGAGTTCCTCAGGCGCCGGAAGAGCCCGCGCGCCAGGCGCGTCGGTCGGCGACGGCGGCCACGACAGGCGGTCGATCTCGGCCTTCAGCTGCTGCACCTCAAGAAAAAATATATAAACCCTCGACCTGCACCTTCCGCACCTTCCGCGCGGGTGCCGCCGAGCGCGGCCTCGGTGGCCGCCGCTGCGGTCGCGGCGGCGACCGCGGCAGCGCGGCACCTACCTGTCGCGCTGGAGGTTCGGAAGGGGCAGATCGAACGGAGGGACAAAGGCTCCAAATCTCCGAAGATACGATTTGTTCAGCCCCGGTGTTGTTCCTCGATTTCGGCCGCCGTGGCCCGATCTTGGGCCCTGGGACTATCGAACGTAGATGCGGGGCGCCAAACTACCCCTGGGGGACGGATCGGGAGCTCTGGGACTGGCTGAGGTGTCGCCTTCAGCTGCAGCAGCATGACGTGCGAGATTCGAGGTTTGAGGTTTCCAAGCGGTTTCCAGAGGCTGCGCCTCGCCGAAGGCGGTCTGGGTGTTCCGTGGTCGTCCCGAACCGCCCCCGGAGGCCAGAGTTATGACCCGCAAGTCACGAGCTCAGGGGGGGGGGGAACATCGAACTGGAATCGGCGATACATCGCCGATAGATCGGCGGTACGCCCCCCTATAGCGAAGCCCTGCTTACCTGGTCAGGGTGGGCTATCGGACCCCTGTCGGCGATGAATGAGCGACGGGGTGATCTATCGGACTCCTATCGGCAATGAACGAGCGATGGGGGGTCGATGCATCCCCCATGAGCCTATCTATCCCAGCCTAGCATTGCCCGCGACACCTGGAGGAGGACGAGAACGACGACAGCGACGGCGACGTTTCGGACGTGCTTGGCCCGTTTTGGTCGCTCAGAGGCTCAAGAATGGAGGCTTCGGACGCGCTTGGCCACTTTGGGGCTTTTGGGAAGCTCCTCGTCACCACGCGCCCTGAAAGAGGCCCGGGTATCGGTGTCTGGGGGGACATCGGGCTGCACCTGCACGCAGCCGAAATCGAGCCGGATATCGGCTGCGCCAAGATTCTCGAACGCGCGATGCGAGCACTTGAAGCATCGGATCTCCGGAATATCGGGATCGGAACATCGGGATCCAATCGGCTGGCCCAAATCGATATCGACTCGGATCGTTTGTATCGGCATGAACTTTGGGAGAATCCTTCTCCGAGACCGTGGGCGAAGACGGCGACCACGCATTTGTTCAGGACGTGTTTGGCCGCTTCTGAAGATTCTCGTCGCCGCGGATGGACACACTGGAAAACAATATCGATAATCGGGAAACTGGACTGAATCTATCTGTGCGTCGGATCGGGCCGCATCGACAAGGACCTCGAATCGAATCGGAGAGGCTGCGCCAGGATGCATAAGCGTGTGCTACGGACCTCGAGGCGCACCGGACCACCCGAGAAGCATAATCAAATCGGACCAGGCTAGCCGATATCGGCACCGAATGATAATTACCGATAAGATCGAAATGAACCCTGAAAAACTGGCAAGGCGGACCGTGGGAGCCTGGGATGGGGGTCACGGGACCAATCTTGAGCGGATTATGACTGACCTCCTGCTCATGCTCGTCCCTGAGCCGCGCCAACTCCTGGGGGAGTATGAATGCCACGATACGGAGAACGAACAAACAAAACAACTGCACCGACATGAGCACAACCTTTGGAGGTCCGCGCGGATCTTTTGGGACCCACCCCCCTGAACGGAGACCTCATCAAACCAAAACGTTGGCACGCCCGAGAAAACGACAGCCGTGGGTCGAAACAACATCTTGGCGGCGCGCAGAGGGGGGTAGGGGGAGGGGGGAGGCCTCTTAGAAGGAGGCTGCTCCTTAGCTTAGAAGTCGCCAGTTCTACAGCTACAGATGACCCCCCGCACCCTCTACGACGCGAGGGAGCTCCTAAGAATCCGTCCCCCCTCACCGTACCCCCTCTGCTCATGGCCGATTCGCCACTACGCAACGCACGAGAGGGACTGGTGCACGATCCACCGGAAGCCAGGTGACCGCACGGTCCCTCTGCGCGTGGCCGGACATTCCCCTCCGGGCGACGTGCTCAAAGCCTTGGCTTGCAGTGCCCCTGAGCACCAGGGGGGGGGGGGGGGCTCTGACCATCGGCGCGCTGCCCCCTGGCGCGCTCCGCGGGGGGGAGGGGCGCGGGGAGGGGGTCCAGCGCCGACCCCAGGCAGCCGTGCGGCCCTCCGAAAATTCATGCGTTCGTGCGGCTGTGTTGCCCGCCACGGCGAGACTTGGCCACGAAAGAAGACTCCCCGACCTAGATCCGAGGGAGCTCCCGAAAACCAGAGCCTCTCCTGAGCCCAAAATGCTTCTCATTCCCAGCGTTTCGCTAAAGGTCTCTAGCAGAGAGAACAACGGAGCCGGAAGAGCCCAACAGGGGGACGGGGAGGCCGACAGGTCCTGCGGCGGTCCAGCAGCCGTTTCGCCTGAGATCTTCCCCATGGACTCAAGAATCGTGCTCTCGCCCCAATGCCGGGTACATGTCTGCTCCGGACGGCCACAATCCCTAGCACAAAACTACACTACGGTGCACATGGCCGTGCTCTCACCCGTCCCCTAGAGCCGACCCCCTACTCCTCGACACACCTCTTCGCCTTTGCTACTATTAGGATGCTTCGCTGGGGTGCTTTCAGCGCCTTGGCTGTACAGGTGGCTCAGAGCTGCAGCACTCTGGGGTTCGGCGACTGGGAACTGGAGCTCCTGCCCAGGTTATGACCTGGCTGTTGTGGGACCCCCGATCTTGGTCACGGTCCATGCCTGGGTTCCATTTAGCTTTCTTACGACTCCGGGAAGCCAAATTAGGATGCATACGTAAGGCGAGCTTGTGGGGTCGTTGGGCGTGCGGAGGAGGTGTACGCTGGCATCCAAAATACTAATGCTTATGAGCAGGCCTGACCGAGTTTAGAAGAGTCGTGTTGGGTATGGTCGTCTTGTCAAGGGGGACCCAAGTCCATGCTGGCCGTCGCCGATTCGCGATGGTCCACGAATTGACGGCACCAAGATGAACGGTGAACATGATCGGCATCGGCGTTTCCGCGTTCAGTCTTGGTCATGGTCACCCCTGGTGTCCCTCATGTTTCAGTTCGCCCGAATTCCAGAGCAATCATGCTGCTTCCAATGTGAACTCGTCTCGACACTGAACCAACTCCCTGGACCTCCCCCTAAGTGCGTACTGACCAGGATCCCGCGGCGAGTTCAGCCGTGGCGGCGAGGGCCCCCAGAAGACCCAGAAAGGGCGAAGATGTGGCGCATCGAGATGGGCATGTGCGCGTTCTCCTCCTGGGCTCCTCCTCGTGGTCCTCGTGCAACTTGGCTACCTGAGCAACGGAGAAAGAAGGGCTGATAATAGAACAAGAGAGCACCTGCATAACCAAACACGTTGGTCGGAATAAATGGGTATAAACATGAAATAGGAAGGCGCTGGAAGTAGATTGGGTTTCCGCCCGCCCCCTTGAGATGAGGAGAACGGGGAAACCGCCCGACTCTTGAAGTAGGAAAGCGCCTGAAGTAGATTGGGATCCGGAAATCAGAAGCTCTACTTTCAACGACAAGCGTGTAATTCTGTGGTCCACCCGTATGTCCTGGATCGGCGCTGGAACCCCGTCCTTGGCAGGCGGAGCGGGCCATGCGGCGGCGCCAGAAGCGCCGCCAGGGATCCCCACGCCGATCCAAGGAATTCGCGTGGAGCTCCGAAGTACATGTCTACACGTCGATCGGAAGAATTAGGTAAAACATGAAGTAGGAAGGTGGATGAAATAGATTGGGGCCAGCCCCCCCCCCCCCGAAAATAACATAATAACACAACAAAGAAAAATCATTTCGAATCTCGAAGTAGGACAGCGCTTGCAACAAATTATGATCTGGGCATCCCAGAATTCCTACTCTCAACAACCCGCGTGCATGCGTTTCTGCCTTATTTTCAGACGGAAAAAGTTTTTACACCTGACAACGACGCATCCTTACTCCATATGGGATAATCATCGGCAAGGGGATGGTCAAACTGGCGACGGAGCTTACACGTCCTCAGGTTGCGGGGGGGGAGAGGGGGGAACCAACATCTGGCTCAATCGATCTCACTATCGATCTCACTCAACGGGACACCAAAGGGACACCCCGGGGCACTTGTCGATCTCACTATCGGTCTCACTATCGATCTCACTCGACGGGACACCAAAGGGACACCACGGGGCACTTCTCGATCTCACGATCGGTCTCACTATCGATCTCACTCAACGGGACACCAAAGGGACACCACGGGCCACCACGGGACACCACGGGACACCGCGGGACACCTCTCGATCTCACTATCGGTCTCACTATCGATCTCGCTCAACGGGACACCACGGGACACCACGGGTCACCACGGGACACCACGGGACACCACGGGACACCGCGAGCCACCGCCGGACGGATGGACGGACGGGGACTTTCTTTCTTTCTAGCTCATGAGGACCAGATCCGAAGGCGAGCACTGGCAACGCGAAATCGAAGCGAAAAAAGCGTAGCACTCTTAACTGCCCACGGGGTTGTTCCCTGAGGAGGCTTAACCTACGAAGCCGACGTAAACTGCTAAAAGATACGATCCACTCTCGGCCAGATGCCGCACGGACCCCGCCAGCACAAGCCCGATGCACGCAGCACCCCGAAGGCTCGGCTAGCCTAAGGTACGCGGACCCTTGCCTTTGCTGGGACCTTTACCTCTCGAACGACCATGCTTTCCTTTCCCCCCTCCACGCGGCCCCCTAGGGATATTTACTGTCGGAGGGCCGTCCAAAAAAATCGGGGGATCAAAAACTGCCTGCTGTGTATGAGAACTTTGAGTGAGAGGAGGAGCCGAAGACGAGGACGGAAGGGAGGAGGAAGCAGGGGGGAGAACAAAGTCTCTTGACCTCAGCTCAGCCAGACGCGAACTCGTCTGTAGGTCTCTCGGGAGCCCCTCTACCTCTTCGTGTGCTCGTCCACGTACTTGCTGAGGATCCGCTCGAGCGGGCCGCGCGGCGGGGCGCCGACCAACCTCTTGCCACCCTCGAACTCCACGAGCTTGATGAGCCACTTCTGCACCTCCGTGTAGTGGTTGTGGCGCGGGTCCGCGTACCACATCAGTGTGCACATCGGCGTCGGGCCCTCGTCCTTCTTGTGTACTTTCACCCTGAAGTGTGTGATCAGCTGACCGACAGCGTTCGGACCGTCGAACTTGCTCAGCACCTCGTTGAAGAACTGCAGCATATCCTCGCTCAGCTTGGCTTCCTCCGTTTGCGTTGACCCTGCCGACGCCGTCCTCGTAGCTCCGTATCCGAATGCTGCCATGAATATCTGAACGTGCGCCGCGCCCCTCGCCTTGTGATCCTGCTTCTCGCCTGCCTTTTCCTTTGCCTTTAGGGCCGCCGAGTCGTCGTTGTACTTCTTGCCTGCTTGCTGGCTGACCGCCACCACTCCCGCCGCCACTGGTAGCTCGTATTTCGTGTACAGGGCGCCGAGGTCGGCGATGTCCTTCGTGTTGGTCAGCACCAGCTTCACCACGGGCAGCATGATGTCGTCCTTGCCGCCTTTGTGCTTCTTCTTGTCCCTGGCCGCGCCCTCGCCCTTTTCCTCCTGGTCGTCTGGTTTGCGCCCGCCTCCAGCGGTGATGGACTGGCTGCGCCACGACGGCGTGACGAGCTTCGGTTCCTGGTCCATCCCCTTCTGGCATATCTGCTGGCTGGTTGGCTCTCTGGGGCCGGCCCAACACTGCCTGGCAAGTGGTTCGACACGAGACGGCTGCAAAGATCATCGAGGGTGCCGCCTTCGTATTCACAGCATAAACATTGTAGCGATCTGGGCATTTTGAGAGGAAGGAGGGTGCGTGCTGCTTCTCTTTGGCAGTGCCCATCTTTAAGTGCGCGCGATAAGTGCTGTGCTGCTGTTCTCTGCGAAGCGAATGTTTGACGACAACTGATACAAGTATTCGCCGGAGTGATAACGCAGTAGAAGTTACGAACATGATGTGCCGACTTTACGCGTGATAAATACGCTGGCCTCGTAAGAAAGCTGGCTCCGCATTCAGCCCATTTTTACTGTGCCTGCATATGAAGGCTTCCGATGGGTCCCGCTCATGTGGCGGAACGACAACTGGTGACGAAGCCAGCTCTTGGAATCCAGGTGGCGGGATCCGCCTGCCGAACTCTCGGCTCCTCAGCTCCGTGAAATCAATCATACAGAAATCCTCCATCGCTTCCTTGTCAGCGTAGAGGGCTAGATTCAAAGCAATCGGCTCGATCATGCAATCTGGCAATAACTCTGCTGCTTGGTCCAAGTCCGCGGCCATTTGCTGCAGCCACGGCGAGGCGCATTGGGATGGACGTCCTGCGCAAAGCTGAGGCCCAGTGTCGAACTGAAACTCCCCGAAAAGAGCAACTGGCACCTGGGTATGGTGCTCAGGACGTCGACCCCATGTCTGATAAAGCTTTAGGCGCCTAATCCTCATCTCCTGGTTACAGGGCAATATTTTCCAGAACCATAGGATTTCTTTATTAGTGAGGCTCGTGATATGCTCCCCCTCATAGTTAGCCGCCTTCCCACCCATTGCTGCTCTCCCCAATCGGCTTAAACGCGAGTCCAGGATGTCATAGTCGAATTTAGACAGCGGGAAACTCTCCAAACCAGATAGCAAAGCGTTTTGAACAAACCCGATGAATAAGCATCTCTTCCACCTCCTCGCTAGTCCCGCTAGCTTCCACATTCCACTAAGAGGGTGAAAACCAGTACGTGCAGCAGCGCATCTACGAACAACTTCGTCCCTAACCGAGTCCCGCATGGTAATGAATGGCCCCAGGTAACGAGCTTCCTCCCGTACAGCTCCCTTCAACACAAGATCACCCGCTCGGATTCTGGCACGTCCGAGATGACCCCGTTGGGCAAAGTGTACAAGAAACTCCTGCTTGCTGGCATTCTGCGCATACCCATGCATGGGAAGGGCCTCGTCTAGGTCCCTGTCCACTTGCACTAGCTTGTCCAAAAAGGAAGATAACGAATCTCCTGGATCAGCGATAACGAGCTTGTTCAAATCATCTGCGTATTTCTGAAGTGAAGTATCTACCTTCCATCCCTTCCATTCCCCCACCAATAGCTTCGATCTGGTATCCCATGTCCTCAATTCCCTCCCCCACGTAAGAATCGGAAAATTAAAGGCGCCCACGAAGGCAGAGACGATAAACGGGTCGCCCATACAGCCACCTTGTCGGGGCCTGACTAAAAGTGGGCCATCTGCTGCTTCAAATCGAATCAGACTCTGCCGAAAGCGCTGCTTACAGATCTGATAATCCTCTGGCTTCGCATGAAGCTCAACAACTTGGTCCAATGTGTTGTGGTGTGTACTGCCGAATGCATTACTTAGATATTTCAAACATACTGCGTGCGTAAAACCTCCCTCCCGAAGTCGACGACTCATAAGCTGCGAACATAAAACCGCCTCCTCCCGACGACGCCCTTTGACGAACCCGTAGTCCATGACCGATGGCCCCCCGCGTAATCGACGACCGAAGTACCCTTTACTAACTGTTGGAAGGATGTGAACTACTCGGCGTCCTCGGGGCCCCTTGAGGCCAGACTTGCGCAATCCACAGGCAGAGCTAGTGCGCCAATACAATGGAGTCTGCTGGTGCATCCTGATCTTTGCCAGGCCAACGTTCACCATGAACTGAAAAGTTAAAGTACTCGGGGGCTCATCAGAGGCCCCAACCCCTGCAACCTGCGGGGCATCCTTTCTCGGCTTGGGCAAGAAGCACATGTGCCACAATTCTAAAGGAGCGGTCCCAGGGGGAACCACTTTGCGCTTCTGTGCCCGAATCGCGTGCCAGAGAATCGCTGAATAATCTGCCTTTGCCAATTCAAAGAGATCAGCATCAGGAAGCCATTGACAGTGCCCGCCTTGATCCTCACGAAGAGCCCCCCACTCGACTTGCTGCACGGCCACGCCACCTTCATGGCCTGGCAATGTCCAAACCTCGAGCCACTGGTGAGCAGGAAGAGGACCTGGCCGAATGAGTGCCCCGTCTCGTTTTTTGGGGCCAATCCTCGTTCGAGCTGCCAGGCGTGTAATCCTCATGGCCTCCGCTGCGCGCCTCTGCTTCCACATCTCATTAGCTTCGTCCAAGAGCTGCCGTTGACGTCGACGTTGAAACTGCCTGCGGGCCATCTTCAGCTGCTTGGTCAGGCTGGCCAGCTCTGCGTCGATCTGCTTCACCTCGTCCTCGCTGCCCTCGAACTTCCCTGCTCTGATCTCGGTTCGCTGTTGTAGCAAACATCGGCGATCAGCACAGTGCTGCGAATAATCTTCACATAGAGGCGGCCGCATAGCCGTGGTAAAAAAACTTCTCACCCGCCGAAATCAAATGCCCTTCCAGCGTCTCGAAGATATCGCCTGGTGATGCACTCTCTTTGATATATCGCGGGTCCACCGTCTGTAGTGAATCACGCACGTGTTCAAGAAACTCTCGCTTGTGGGTGCCCTTCTTGAGGGCCATCATAAGAGCGTATCGGTCCCATCGCAAAGTAGGTTCCGTTTTGACTTCAGGAGAATACTTAGCATAATTCATGGCGCACACCAGTGGTAAGTGATCTCTAGGAGCCGCACCACGTTGTAGTTGCAACTTTGCACCCAACTTCGGGATAGTGCCACAAGTGATAGTCATAGCGTCCATGTCCGCTGGGTAACTGAGATAATCTACTCGCGAGCTATATGTGTCGCCAAAGAAAGTCGGCGAGCTTCTCCCACCCACCGTGTTGCCTGCTAGAAGCCGATGTTCCTCAAGAACTGCTCGGAACAGTGCTCCTGCTCCGTCATCTGTGCGCTCCAACGTCGGGATACCGATTGCACCAGAACGCAAATCCACACTGCCCGAGCCTCGCTTCTGTAAACCCATCCCGTCATTCAAATCACAGAAAATAAAAGGTGTTGAACGTGTCGGTGTTTGAGCCAATATATCTTGGAGCCAGTCTCGCAAGATCCGTACCGTTATGAAATAAGATCTCTTTTTTGGAGTCGCATATCCCGAGGCGGAAAGTAAAGAGAACCAAAGTTAGATCCTGTCGTCCACGTTTGACTCGAACTGCAATCGCTCTCCCACGAGCTTCCTGCGGAGAACACCAACTGGCCACTATATGGTCCTCCTTCAGGCCCCCGCCGAGCACGATAGCACATCCACAACTTGAGTTCGCGTGCGGGCTGGGACCAAAAGGCGCCTCGAGAAGCAATCGTCCTGCTACACGTCGTCGAAGTATCTGACTGCCTGTATGGTTCTGGCGGTAGTCGACGGACTGCGTTCCTGCAAGAAGCACCGCGTCGAAGTTCCGTAACTCTGTGACAATCTCCTCCTGCCTCGCGCCTGTGCAGCTCTGCGGGTTCCAGCCCAAGATTCTCAATCTATGCATCCGCGCTGAACCGCATCCTGCGTGTCTGGTCAGAGAAACGCTCTGGCAGGAGGCAAATCTATGTGGGCAGCTGACCCACTTGTAATCATAAACTCGAGCCGACAGGGCTACGGACGGGGACACCATAGGACACCACGGGACACGTCGGGACACCACATCGATCTCACTATCGATCTCACTCGAAGAGACACCACGGGACACCACGGGACACCACGTCGATCTCACTATCGATCTCACTATCGATCTCACTCAACGGCACACCACGGGACACCACGGGTCATCACGGGACACCACGGGACACCGCGGGACACCGCGAGCCACCGCCGGACGGACGGACGGACGGACGGGACACCGCGGGACACAGCTAGGGCCAGGGACGGACGGACGGACGGAGGAGAATCGTTTGTCTTGACTTCGCCCTAGCAACGGCGGACACCACGGGACACCACGGGATGCCGCTAGGGCCACCGCCGGACGGACGGACAGAGGAGAAACAGTTGTCTTGACTTCGCCCTAACAACGGCGGATTCAGTCCTCTCGCGCGCCCAAGCAGCTTCGCCTCGCCCGCACGCACGACACGAACGAAACGAAACGATTTCCCGGCTGGGGGTCTCTGTTCCACTGCGATCTCACCCCCCAACCTCCGAATTACGGTCTGATGCACACAATGGTACAATTAACTAGCAGTGGAGCCTCACACAGTCGACCCATCTGCGCCAGACCCGCTGCTCCAGCTTAGATCGACCGAGGGTTCTGCGGCAACTCATGGAAGCCTTCCATACCATCGCTTTTGCGAATCGAAGCTGATCGACGCTACTCGACTCTATATCGACGCTGGTCGACGCTGATCAACGCATCGGCTGTATCGTATCAACAACCAGACGCAAGTCGACGCTAATACACTCAAAGACAGGATTACCAAGGTATACAATGCCCCCATGATTTGTTACCGGCCCCAAGGGGAGGGGGCGACTATTACCCCACTCGGAACAACCGGTAACATACACGGGCCGCCAGCGCGGAACACCGTGCGGAATCGACAACGCGCGGTCAATGCCACCGCATCCGCTCTCGGCCTGCACACTTCTCTTGGCGCGTCAACTATATCCACCCTGCTGGACCTGGCCAGGCCCATCCTTCAGGGGCAACGTTAGAAGGGGGCCAGCTCAGGGGGGGAAACATCGACCTGGAATCGGCGATACATCGCCGACAGAGCTGCGATGGGCCCCCGATAGCGAAACCACACGTTCCTGGGCAGGGTGGGCCATCGAGCGGCGAGGAATGGACGATTTGGATGTCGACGCATCGCCCCCTGCGCTTACCCCCCCCCCCCTAAACGTTGCCCCTGCATTCTGAGTCCGGAACCGGTGTACGCACCCTCCAGGCTTGACCAGAGAGGTACGCAGTGTCTCTGGTCCTGGGGCCCAGGATGGGTGACTGGGCAGGATCGAGGAGGCGGATGGTCAGCCCCTGAGATCCGGCGACACGCACGAAACAGTACAGCATCGTGAGCAAGCACGACTGGAGCCCCGATTCGATCCCAGCGTTATGCGGGACTCCTCGAGCTGGACCGATCCGCGGGGGCCCGACCCCAAGGAGGTCCCGATGCCTTCCTGGGGGCCATTGCTCGTCCCAGACACCTGCTTGATTGCCCAGACGCCGAAATCATACACAAATGCCGGGGTGATGGCGTTCCTCTCGCCGCGGGGTGGCGGTCGCCAGTGTCTCCCACCCACGGTTTACACCGTGGAATTGGAAGGCCGTCAATAAGCTCGAGGATCCACCTAGCAGCTGGTGGGGTGCAGTCCGGCAAGCCAAATGCCGAGGTTGAGAAAACCACACAATGGGATGCTTGGCCGACACCCCCGGCAGCCTCACGCTGATCAGTGGCTCCTCGAGGCCCCGTCTTCCTCACAGTGACCGAGAGCCCTCTCCTCCGATCTGGAGCCAAAGCCGGACGGTCCTGCGCGGGCTGGGCTGTCTGGCCCCTATTGGCGATCAATGGGTGATTGAAAGTCGGCGCATGCCTCCCTTGACCGATCCCCCCCTACTTACGGGTTGCCCCTGGGTGGAGGCCCGGCAGGACCACCGATCTGGCCAACACAATCTCGAATTCTCACATCGCGAAACATTGCCACGTTGCAGAAACACTCGACCAAAGCCCTGGACCGCATCTCCCTGCCGCCTTTCTCGAGCCGGATCGATCCGTGAGGGTCCCAGGGCCCGCAACAATGCAAAATCGTCCGTGGTGAAAAATTGCGACGCCAAGACCTCGGGGTCTCCCCAACTGGCAAAACAGCAACTTGCTGCGCGGATCACGATAAGCGACATCAGCCGTGTTTCCCGAAGTGGCGGTGTGGTGTCAGAACGGTTTCCAGGTTGGCTGGCTACGGCCCTGCTAGGGCCACCGTCCCAGCGGGGATTCAGAAACCAAATGGCGACACGGGAACCACGCCTTAAGCAGGCTGAGGGGCTATGTCACTGTCTTCCCATTCCCCGCGGCGACTAAACGACCGGGGAGGGGCCACCGCTCTGGCCAGCGCAATCTCGCGCTCGTGCCGCGCCCGCGCCCCGCGGCCCTGCTGGGTGGCGACATCCGATCCCTACCCCCACCAACACTCGATTCTGCTGAGTCGATGGGAGGCGGGGACAGGGTTCGGTTCTCGCCTCGCGTTCGACGAATTCCGAACTTACCCCCGTCGTCCATCGAATTGCCTGAACCGTTGATCGGCGAGGGTAGGGTTCGGACTTCGCCGCCGACCTCTGGGCGCGGCCTAACCGACCCCTGGCGAAGCATACCCCTCCGAACTGTCATCCTCGCCTCTCAAGCTCCCCTCCTTCAGCACGCATCCGTCTTTGGGCCAGGCGAGGGGGACGTCACGGAAGGAGATGCTTTGCCAGTGGTCGGTTCGGTCGCCCCTGAGACCTGCGAGCCCGCGCGCGCGGCCGCGGCCGCGGCCGTGGCCGCCCAGCGGCTCCGCCCCGCCCGGTCGCGCAGGCGCGGCGGCGTCTGCGGCGCTGGCCAGGCGCCGCCCGCCCCCCCCGCGGGCTCTCTCGGCGCCGCGGGCAGCACCCCCTCGGCCACGGCGACGGCCGAGGGGCCGAGCGGCCGCGGGGGCCACGCCGCCGGCTCCGTGCCGTCGCCCATGGGCGCCGCGCTCCACGCTGCGCCCCCTCAGAGCCTGGCGCTGCAGTTTTGTTCACGCCAGGCGCGTTCGCCCGGTGTTCGGGCCTCGGGGCCATGGCAGATCGATCAGGCTCGGAGGACGGCGCGGAGAAATGAGGTCCAGGGCTCCGGTCGTGATCCCTCACGGTGCTGCAACTTTTTTGCAACGGCGGATCTGAGGGCCTTCGGAGCGGTGCGGCCGCCCCAGTGGCGGCGCCGCCGAAGCCGCGCCCGCTCAGGCCGAGCTGGCGGGTGCGGTCAGAGGGGTTGGGAGAAGCAGGACTTGAGCGATGAAAAGAGGAACATATGCCGAATTTCGCTTGCGGTCTTACGCAGAATGAGCACCTGAGCGTGACCTGGTCGTACGCACGATGATATCTGCCGACCTTCCGCGGCAGCTTTCGCTGGCCGCCAACACGGCACGCAACAGTAACACGATACAGTGGAAACGAGGAACAACTCACGCGCGGCCCTACGCGGGAAGCTTACGCGCGGACCCGTTTTTTTTCCGTCGCTCACTTGGAGGCTTGGAGACGGGCACCAACACCAACACATGGGGGTGCTTCCACCGGGGGAAGATCCTGATATCGGCCGCCTAGAAGCCCGAACACGACCACCATCACCAACATCGGGATGATCTTCGGAGAAGGCACACCGTCAACAGTAGTGTTGGTGCCAGCCGATACGCCTCCGAATGACCTTGGGATCCTGGCGGCGCATTTTGTTCGCAACGGGCGCTTTCGCCCTCCTTCGAGCCCAGAAGGGCCCTCGCGGATCGACCCTGACCGAGAGATGCGGACCTTGGGATTGGGTAGTGATCTCCAACGGTGTTGCACATGTGCGTCGCGACCTCGGATTTCAGGGGAGGTGGGAAGACGTCTGAAGCAGATTGGTTTGTTTCCAGCCCGTCCCCACATAAAGAAACATACTGGCCCTTCGATGCTTGAGGTAGGAGGACGCCTACAAGCAGATTAGCAAATACTTGATGTTCGAGTAAGCCAACATTCCCGACGTCGTGGGCTCTCTAGCAGCCTGGACCCCGCAAATCTCGACCCCTTCCCCAGAACTGGTGTTTCCCCCTGGGCCATTATCTGAAGGCCTCTGAGGCTTCGGGCACCCACTAAAGCACAAGCCTGAAGATGCCGAGCGAGACTCCTGTCTGCAGAGCCCGCCGGATCGCACTCGCATGTGGACTAACCTGGCTCCCTGCTCAGAAAACCAAAGAAACAGCCCTCTGGGCGTAGGTGGTTTAACGAGATCGTTCTTTCTTTCCTCTTCCACAACCCAATGTTTCCCCTCGGGGGGGGGCCTGCCATTGCTTTCTATTGATAAGCACCCCCTACACAACCCGACCAGCAGCCACCCCGGACTCATGAGCCTACCCGCCCCGCCATTCCGGGCAAAAACAAAACACAACGCACGTCGGCACCAACATCTGGAGTATGCGGGCGCCCCGCGATCATTTTGAACTGGTTCTAGACACGGACGATGGGAGGGCAGCATACGGCATGCTGTCTGCAATGCCACCACCCCCTACCACTCTTTCCAAATAGCCATACCATGCGCACCATTGTCTGGAGCATGCGCGGACGCCCCGCGATCAGTTTGCTGGTTTTCAAAAGGACGACATGGGACTGGCAGATTGCCTGCTGTGCACCATGTCAACACCCACGCCACCCCGTGCAAACAACACCATACAAATGCACTGGCTGCTGTGTGCAACGCCAGCAACCCCAAACAATCCCTTACAAAAACATGATGACGTTCACGTTGCAATAAAAATTGTACAACCCGCGGACACCAAGCGGCGATCACGTTTCACTCAATGTGATATGTGACAGGGACGAACGGAGTGCCTGCATAGTGCCTGCTGCGCGCAGGCACATCATCCCCGTCAGCAAACAATACTGGAGATACACGTTCCAGCGGCTGTCATGTGCGGGAGTCTCGCGATCACTTTGGATTGTGATTTGAAATGGGAAACGGGGATGCCCTGGCACGCGCGGCGCACCCCGCAGGCGTCGCGCACCTGGCTGGCGTTTGCACTGATTCCCGATCATGGTCGATGGCGGCCCCTGCCCATGCTGACACTCGAATGTTACTTATGTGGTGAGAGGGTTGGAAGGCCCAGCAAACAGCTTCGCCTCAAGCGAAGCCAAATTCCAACTCTGTAGTACCGTAGTAATAACGAGAGTCCCAGTATGAGAGGATATGCCATCTCAAGCAACAGGAAGATCCTTTCGGTCTCGATAGCGATTGCGTGCCTCGCAGTGAGTCGCAATCAAATGTGGGCGGCCGGCCGCTTGAGCCGACGCGGCCGCGGGCGCGCACCCGCTTCCACTCCTTACGTCCTTCAGCTCGCTTTAGAGTCGGGGGGGAGGGAGACGAAGCGTGAGCCCGTCGCCCCTATACAGCAGGCGTAGCAGCTAACTTACACAAGGACAGGAAAGGAAGCGGGTCCAAAGGAAGGTGGGCCCGCTAGCAAGTTGCCTCGCATGTATCTGACGCACTCATCAGGCGGCGTCAGAACCTGATGTCTGGCCGGCCCGATATGGAGCATGTCTCTTCAGGTCGTGTTTGATGGTTTGTATACCTTCCATGACTTGTAGGAGCATTTCTCTGTCGATGCTCCCCTGGGTGTGGCCATCCGCAGTCATATCGCGGGTAGCACACCACTGAATGCTGTGCACGATTCCACGCTCCATCATCTGTCGTATCCAACTGATGCGTCCTAGAAGGGTACACGCAGTCGGTTTCTTCAAGTCTTTGCTGGACAAGGACTTAAAACAGACTCAGCATCGATGGTCAGCGCGACCTTCATGCTCAGGCCACCCAACTCAAGCATATCTTTCAGCTGAGAGGGCAGGAGCGGCCCCGCGTGGAGCTCGTGCAGAGCCACCATCGTGGGATAACAGTCCTCCAAATTCTGGGCTGCTGCTAGTGACTCTGCTGCATAACTCGAGCGGGCCTGCAAGCGGTGAGACTTGCAGTGCGCATCAATCAAGTGAACGACAGGCTTACCAGATAACGTGTTCCCACGTCGTAGCAGGTTTGCCCCGCGAGTACCATAGCATTTGACGTCGTCGTCGGCGTCTCCACTCAGGCGTCGATATCCTGAGTCGCTATGTAGGTCGACCTCGCCCGTTGGGTTCATCGCCCGGTAGACGATCCTCTTCGGGCAGGCCTGTAGCTTTCCGGTGATCGCGCTCAGTCGTCGCACTTGAATGTCGGTCGGTTCTGGGACACGCTGTAGAGATACATCATGCACCATTAACGACACCTGGGTGATTAGTGCGCATGCCAGCGCACCCCTGGGGTTGACGCACATGTCTGCCACCATCTCGGTTGCTTGAGCGTTAGCGCCGGCGCCAGTTAGTTCGGGATGTTGTATAGGACGGAGCTGTTTGATCTATTCATATTGTTCCAAAGTGACATTCCCGTCCTCGTCCTTGGTGTATCTCACAGCACAGTAGGTATATGTGTGCTTGTTGAGTTTACACTTCCGAAACATATCTTCAACCCATGTGACGCATTTGTCAATGGTGTCCTCAGCGCCGGCCATATGAATGCCATCAACACGCTTGGCCGTGTAGGACGTGGGTCGGAGGCCGCATCCTCTGGCGGCTCTTCTGAGCCTAAGTGAGAAAGCCCGTGAAGCGCCTTTAGTGCCTGTGCCCGGTTTTAAGCACTGTAGGCAATGTTTTGACTCGTCGTAGCGCTCGAATCCTGGAAGAGCACGGAGCGCGGTGGCCGATCTAGGCGGCAAAGTAAAACGCACCACGCGTTCAGCAGTAGCCTCAGCAAGTTCCTGATAGGTCAATCTCTTCAGGAAGGCCACGTTGATGTCGAGGGAAGCAATGATCCACTGCTTCTTGCACGCTGCCGTGCTAGCGAGTAACTTCTGGCTTGGCCGTCTTGATGTGTGTTATTTTTCTTATTTTTTTATATATATAAAAAAGAAGAACACACACGCACACACACAAAAAAAAAAAAAAAAAAAAAAAAAAAACTGGAAGCTTCAAGGGCCACGGTGCCTCGGAAGACCAAACGTAGTCGGATGGTACGTTCCATCTCGCCCTCCTCGTTCTTCACGAACTCCCATTTGCACGCGTATATCGAGGTCATGGTGTTCGACGCTTTGGCTATCTCCTGCATCTTGAAGCATTTGTTGTCGAATCATGTCTTGACCTTAGTGTAGAGGGCCTTCGATACTTTATCGGGATTCGCCTGGATGTCAGCTTTAGCGAGGAGGTCGTCTTCCTTGGCGGCCACAGCTCGCTTTGCAGCGGCGGTGACGTATACTCGCATAGAGGTCACCGGGTCGGCATCTAATATCATGCGTTGCTGCTCGGACAAAACTACCTTCGACATTTCTGCCGTAAAGCATACTTCGACGTATCGGCCAAGTTCGTCTGAGTCGAATCCGTAGCTGTCGTCTTCGACCATGGTGCACATGGGGCTCTGAATCGGAGTCGTGAGTGCGCCCCCACTTCGGCAAGTGTCCCCGCTGTTCATCAGCTACAGTGATCCGCGCGCTCTGATCTGGTACCATGTGTAGGTATGGAAAAAAAAGGTCCTCTGGTGGAATTGCCTCCAACAGTTCCCTCTCCTCTTGTAGTTTTGCGTACCACACCCCCATAACATGCGACTCAAAATCAGCCTCCGATTCTTCGTTCGTCGTAGGGAGCCGTCCGTCCACATGTGCTGGTGCGGCTTCTGAGGCTTCTCTCGCGGTTCCATCCGGTGTCGGCGTATCTGCCAATTCCTCAAATCCTGACATATCCTGATCAAAACCTTCTTGAGGTTGAGTGGACTTCAGGCATTCGATAATTCGTGAATGTGCTGATCCAGT